CAGCATACTACACTACAGACTTTTAGTGGAGTCTTCCAGCGACTTGGCCCACTGTTAACTTGGTCCACGGGCCAAGTCGATGGATTAATTTTTTTTAAATTTTTCTTCCGGCAATTAATAATATTTTTGTTTTAGAAATCGCCAAATTCTTAATAAAATGTTATTTTTTTGATTTAATTTAATTAATAAACCTAATTATAAAAAAGTTGGTTTTGTTGACCATTACCATGACCATAATGTGCCCTACCAGACCAGCTATACTTCCAAAACTATGTGAGGTACACCACCGCAATCTATTTATAAGTCTAGCACTTTAAACTAGTATGAGGTCTCACAGTGCGCGTGGACGCACAGGGTGACACACGAACCAATCTTACGCCCGTATTCACAAACGATGCTTGCTTAAGTGAAGCAGCAAATCGAACGCACAGCGTTGAATAGAGCTTTGTGATTGGTTCGTGTGTCACCCTGCGCGTCAACGCGCACTGTGAGACCTCATANCGGTACCGTCTCGCTCGCACTGCTTGTATCAATTTTATACTTATTGATTCTGAGGTCGTTCGCGTACGGTCGGCATACAAATTGGAATTAATTTCAAATGTTTTAATTTTGTTTAGTCAATTGACATACTTTTTTGAGCTGCAATAAGGGATGTGACGTCATCAAGTAGCCAACTCAAAGAATTGTCAATTTTATTTGATACTAAAATCTAATTTTACAGTTAGGTCCCTAGAAAAAAGGGATTTAAGAAATAGTGTTTGAGATTTTGAGAAACCGGTGTACAATTCGAATTTGTGGTTTTAATTCCAATCAAATGTTTCAGACAAGACAAAACTTCTTTGAAAAACATTTTATTTTAGTCCTGAAAACCGAGTTATTTTTATCTGTGTGTATAATTCAATGTTTGGCAAGTAACCGTCTAATTGAATTCCTATATTCCCTAAGTAAATAGTGCACATCAAATTTTACCTTTGCAGAATCGAACATTTTAAATTACTAACCAACCATCTATAGCGTTAGTTTCAGCCGAAAGACGTCCACTGCTGGACAAAGGCATTCTCCAAGGTTTTCCACAAATATCAGTCCTGCGCTGCCCGCAATCAGGCACCTCCCTTATTTATTATTTATTATGTATTTTAGAAGAACCCAAAAACCCATTATTAAATTAAAATACTTTATTTGATTACTTCCTAGGCATTTTGCAGACATTAGAATGATTTTAGAATTTATTTTGTATTACATCCAATTATTTCATATTATTTATTATTTAATTTAATAATGGGTTTTTGGGTTCTTCTAAAATACAATACAAATACTAAAATTGTTGCAATAACTATTTAAAAGTAACCAAAAATCGTAATTAATCGTATAAAATACAATATAAATTCTAAAATCATTACACGTGTTACGGTGTTACATAAATGCCCTGAAAAGGGCCTAAATACTATTAAAAAATGTTTTGTTCATTCGCACGTTAGACGGCTCTGTTATTTTTTCCCGCCTTTTTTGCTGACGCTACATTTCAAAATGGCCACATCCGGCGTGATTGTTGCCGTGTGCACACTTCATTAGTTCACTGGGATTACTTATGTTACCATCGGTTAACTTATTTGTAGTTTTTCTTTACTGTCTAGAGGCGTGCGGTGCATTGTATAGGACTTACCTGGCAAATGGGTTTACTCCCAGCATACTACAGACTTTTAGTAGTCTTCCAGCGACTTGGCCCACTGTTAACTTGGTCCACGGGCCAAGTCGATGGTTTGAATTTTTAATTTTTTTTTCTTCCAGCGACTGGGCCCACTCTTAAGATTCTAGAGTAGATTTTGGTTGATTTGGTGTTTATTTTATTAAAAAAACATTGAAGGTGGGCCTAGTTACTGAAAGAAAAAAAATATGGAAGACTTGGCCCGTGGACCGAGCTAAAAGTGGGCCAAGTCACTGGAAGACTCAATTTTTTCACTCATTCCCGCTTTTTTTGCTGACGCTACGTTTCAAAATGGCCTCATCCGGCGTGATTGTTGCCGGGTGCACACTTCATTAGTTCACTGGGATTACTTATGTACTATCGGTTAACTTATTTGTAGTTTTGCTTATCTGTCTAACTAAAGTCGACTCGAACTCTATAGAATTCAGCAGAAATGTAAACAAATATGGCCAACTGACAACCTTTACCTGGTAGTGGCAGAATTGTTGCCACCATATTTTGAACCTTATTGACAAAACATAAGGTACAAAACTAATTAAAAATATTTTTCTCTATACCAGTTAAAGGGTTACGTACATTTTTATAAGATTTTAAACGTTCGCGTTCCATTTCAACTAAAATAGTGAGACACGGGTCTTAACGCGACTTTTATTGATGAGGCTTGACGTATTTTTAGTCTATGCACTAGTGATGGGACAAAACCTATCGTTACTTATGTACCTACTACCTATAGATATTAAAAAATCTTTAGTTTTATTTGTCATGTTTTTCAAAATCAAAAATATTTATTCAGTTTAGACCACAAANAGAACTTTTGTCATTCACTTAAGTTAGAAGTGTTTTATAAGTTCGGCGATTTTTGTTTGTTAGGAAAAATGGATAAAAAAATCAAAATCAAAAATATTTATTCAGTTTAGACCACAAGTGGCACTTATGAACGTCAAAATATAGTAAACTAGCTTTCCGCCCGCGGCTTCGCCCGCGTGGAATTTTGTCTGTCACAGAAAAACTTTATCGCGCGCGTCCCTGTTTCAAAAACCGGGATAAAAACTATCCTATGTTCTTTCCCGGGACTCAAACTATCTCTATGCCAAATTTCATCAAAATCGGTTGCGAGGTTTAAGCGGGAAAGCTTAACAGACAGACAGACAGACAGACAGACAGAGTTACTTTCGCATTTATAATATTAGTTGGGATAATAAAAAAAGAAAAGGTAGCCCTTATGGGGTACTATACATATGTCTCCTTACCTTTTGGGCCCTACCATCGCTTCGACACAAACATATGGCAAGTGCTGAGAGTTACACTGAGTATGTTTGTGAATAAGGGCAATAGAGCTCTATTCAACGCTGTGCGTTCGATTTGCTGCTTCACGTAAGCAAGCATCGTTTGTGAATACGGGCGAGTTAAAGAGCTAGATCTATAATAGTATTTAATCAAAACATTAAAACGGCTACAATACGTATTTTTATCCACCTGTAACAAGAGTAGGTCAGCCTTTCGTAACGTATATTTTGCTATCTGTACGATCCAAAATGGCGGCGTCCTCCGTTGCTATGCAGTTCATTAGCTCATTCGGACACAACGGAGGCGAATACAGTGGGCACGGTTCAACTCTTTAAAGTTTAAACCAATGATTTTTTTTTAACCTGTGGGTCGCGAAGCCTCTAAGCGAGAGGTCGTAAAAACACCTCAGTAAAAAAAAACAGTTAAGTTTTAAAGATAGGTACATATATTTATCCGAAATCTAATTATGCAAATCAATGCGTAAAAAAAATGTATGGATTGAAGTATTCGGACCCTACAACATATTCTGTAACATTAAAAATGCATGAAAAAAAACGCAAACAGTCGGCGGGGGGTCGCAAAATATTTTTTCATACTAGGGGGGTCGTGCGTGTCACGAAAATGAAAATGGTCTGAGTTTCTTCCGCCACTTCTTCTCAGCGCCAGCTCATGTGTCAGTTGTCCAGCAGTGGTGGTAGGGCAAGCTATATTCGGGACGTGTATAAGTGCCCTGGAAAGGGTCTAAGTACTGTGTGCTTGATTAACATGAGTTTACGTTAGGTATGCTCGCTAGCGAAAATGAAAAAATGTACGTCAAAAAATCTAAGAAGATTTTATTTCTTGAAAGTAGCCGCTAGGGGCGCTGCACAATATGTCATACATTAAATGTCATTTTTTTACGCAGAATGTTATTTCACTTTATAGACCTACTGCTTCATCTATATTGTGAGAGATGCAGTCGAATTGTAATCACCACTTTAGGCTGAGTTCCCAATGACGCGCTGAGCACAGCAGAGCGGACTTTACATGCTTTGCGCCCTGGTTTCGCTCGGGTTCAATAGACATCCTTCTGAAGGTCTACTGTCAACGAAAGAAAAGCAGCTGAACACCAAGTTTAAAATGACGAATAAGTGTCTGCTGAAAGCTATGCCTATTTGGACAGTACAGTAGGTCAAAATTTACATTGACAACCTGGATATCATGGTCTCCAAGCACCTTTAAGGCTAAAATGCAAAAAATAAAATATTGGGACGTGTTAGCCAATAAAAGTGTTTTTAAAAGCCAACTTATTATTTTTTATGACCTTTATTCAGCGATCGCCGAGATCGAACTAACGACTTATTAAACTGGTAGTAACCCTACTACCAGTTTAATAAGTCGTTAGTTCGATCTCGTTTAAAACTAATGCCGGACATTCTTCTACTTCTTCTTGTCGTGTCGACAACAAACCTACACAGCGTCGGCCCAAAACTCCGCCACAAGAATGGCGTTGTCAGTAGCCTTCATTATATCTTCCTGCGAGCAGTTTTTTGGGCACGCAGGGCACGACATCATGTGCTTCGTCGACTGGGGAACAAAACCACACCTGCACCACAACTGCACTCCAAGTTTGAGCCATCCAAGAATTGAACAGAAACATGAACAGATTGTCCTTACTACGGCCGACCTGCGTCCGAGCATTGCTAGACAACAGCCTCCACACTAGAATTCCCCTAACGAACTGTCCGCATTTCCTCTCGATTTGGTGGAAAAAATGTTGCCCAACAGTATTTTCCGATGTCAAATGAAATAAGAATATTTATTCAGCACTTAGGTTCTTTCCAGGAAAGTACTCGTCCCAAACATAGCTTGCCCTACCACTACTTCGGGACAACATATGGGCTGGTGCTGAGAAGAAGCATTGTCACTTTTTCCGTCTTTGATATTTAATTGGTCCCATAACTGTAATAAATGTTTCTTTCTTTCTTACTTTCTATCTTTTTAACTGATTGTAATTTTTCTCCAACAGTTGGTGGGTTCCCCCTGCGGTCACCACGGCCAGTACACCTTCTACAAAGCCATCAGACTCTGCGGAGAGAAGGACCGCATCATTGCTATCGGAGACTTCTTCTTTGTCAGGATATGGCAGGACTCTGAGCTGGTCTCCGTCGGTAAGTGCTGCAGTATTCATAAACATTACTAAGAGGTCTCACAGTGCGCATGGACGCACAGGGTGACACACGAACCAATCTCAAAGCTCTATTCAACGCTGTGCGTTCGATTTGCTGCTTCACTTAAGCAAGCATCGTTTGTGAATACGGGCGTAAGTCTCCACTGGAGAAGACCCTCTATTTGTTAGAGGCAAAAGAGAGGATTTGATCTGAACTCAATACTCATCCTTAATTTTTAAGTGACCCCTATGGATTGGAAACACATTATGGAATTTTGTTATCATATTGGTCACTTAAAAATTTGGGATTGATGGTGAAAACGGGCATCAGACTCCTATTTTCTACCTCTTGTTCTCACCGCTGCAACTCTTAACTCCAAGTCAGGATCTACAGTTTGACCGTCAATAAAAAACCAACCAGATACGACCAAGTTTGGTAAGTACTCGTAAGTACAACTGTTGCTACATTTTTTCATCTCATTGATGCCCGTTTTCTCCATCAATCTCTAATTTTTGAGTGACCCCTAGGGTATGGTAACACATAACAGGAATTTGGTTTTCATAGTGGTCAATTATAAATTAAGGATTGATGGTGAAAACGGGCCTTAGTCTCCACTTCTGGAGGACGATCCTTTCTATTACCTTAGTTTGAGGGAATATCTTCACCTTTTTTACCCCACCTGCACCTCACTTGATGGATATGATTAGGCCGAAGGTGGAAGCGAGCTTCATCCGGAATCCTCAACCACAAATGAATTTTCCTTCCAAGTTTATCTTACCTCCTATTGCCGAAACATTGACTTAGGTAACCCCAATATTTCCTTCTTCTTCATGGATACTGATCACAGTCTTCCTTACAGGTGAACTCCAGCTGTTGTGGACCGACAGGATCTCCGGCCAGACCCTGGTCAGCCTCCGACTGTACTTCCTGCCAGAGAACACTCCTGACGGGCGCAGCCAGCATGGAGAGGTAAGGAAACAGCTTCTAGTCTTAATTTAATTTTGACAGAGATTTCGCATTTCGCAAGAAATACTAGTGTTTTGAAGAAACCTTTTTGAAACCAAGATGAGCAAGTACTGAGAAGAAACGCCGCGAAGCCAACCATTCTTTGAGACGAAGATGCGGACGAATTCGCGGTTCTGTTTCAATGACCCTGGAGGATACCGCCGGGTTTTAGTGGGTATATCTCCAGGCTCGCCCGATAGTCCCACATACATAACCCATTGACTGTCGCCATTGGCCTGTGGGTATGCGCAAAGCGTTTCCCGATGGAAAAAAGAGGCAAACCATTATCGCCTCTCGTTCCCACCACTGCAACTCCTGTGTAGCTTGACCGCCAAAACCAAGGCACAGGAGCGTTTTGACAGTAATGTCAAACTGTCACAGACCGAATATCACACGAGCAAAGCAGGGTACAAAAGCTAGTATAGTCTACACTAAATTGTATAGAGGAAAGATTTCTTTGTTTGTTTATATTGAATAGGCTCTCAAACTACTGGACCGATTTGAAAAATTCTTTCATCATTTGAATCGTACATTATTTCTGATGAACATAGGAACGAAGCTCGCCGGACCAGCTAGTTACCAATATGGTGTGACGTGTATTGTTTTGCTCCCGGCGAGGTTCGAACCCGCAGACGCTAGTCTGTGGTTTAATAAGCCATGATAAACAAACATGGCTGACCCGTTCCATCGAAACCAGTTTGTCAGCATGATTTATTAATCAAATAAATATTAGGTACAGTTGTTTGATGTGGTTGCCAATTTGGATGATTTCAAACTTAGAGAATTAATGATTTCAAATCATCATGATCAATTATTACGAGTTAGTAGTGTATTAATTAAGCATTTACATAATGTGAATAATTAATTATGTATGTTTGTCAAATATTCACGGTGTAACCGCTGAACCGATTTTGATGATTTTTTGTGTAGAGGTACATTGGACAATGGAAAAAGATATGAGGTACTTTTTGTGGCAAAAAAACATGTACAAGGGATTGAAATAGGGGTTGAAAGTTTGTATTATAGAAGCCATTCAGGTTGGGGGCTTTATGTTTAAGAATTTGGTTGGAAATAAAGAATTTCTAGAGTAACTTAGGTTAGTTTAGATTTTACGACCACTTGATCGCACAAGATAAGAAGTCTTTATGTGATATTTCCTAAAAGTATGCAGACAAACCCGCAGGATTTAAGCTAGCAAATACAGTAAAAATCGTGACCTCGTTAGGTAATTAATATTTTTATTACTGTAAGCAATTTTGTTTAGAGGAGACGTTATCTGGCCAAATCGATCATGAAGGTCAATAATACGTGTATGTCGACTCCTTTGTAACAATACTCAAAGTAATTTAAAAATAAATGTGCAGTATCATGTCACCTCTTTAATCTATTATCGAAAACTTTAAAAAAAGAACACAAACATCGCGCGGAAACCTCAAAAATTGAGTGCGGTGCGAAGTGCGCGTTGCCGTCCCGCTCGCACTTGCGAGGTTCGTCGCGCCGTCTCTTTCTAATCCCTATTTGGTAACGCCAACTATTTTCATGGATGAAATTACGGGTAGGATTTGGCGGGAAATATAAGCGATAGCGAGTTTACTTGCGGTCGCGATTCTTAGAAGTATTGACTTTTTGACCTACTTTACATAAAATGTGACACAGGAATTTGTGTTCTGTTTGATTATGTTAGAACTCAAGTTTGTTTGAAACACAATGATAAGTATGAGGTATTTGATTCACCGTCCGTCGATGAGTCATTAATTATTATTATGTCACTGTATTATTGTTTAGTAATGACATTTTTAGTTTTGCATTTGCATCGCAATTTGTAAGGTTGGATTTTGTTGTTACTTCACTCTTCACTCTAAAATGAGCGAGCGGATTTTGATGAAACATCATTTTAGAGAAATAGGCAAAATTTACTCAGGCTTCTTTTTTTCGAAATCGAGTGCAAATCTGAGAAAAACATTTAAACGTAACAACAAAATAAAACCTTCTTTTTTATGCAGAAAAAGGCAGGTATTTGACCGCAATCGCAGCTGATGTTAAGTGAAATGCAGTCTAGGATGGTATTATCCTACTAATATTATAAATGCGAAAGTTTGGATGTCTGGACATTTGTCACTCTTTCACCCAAAAACTACTGAACGGATTTTGATGAAACTTTACAGTATTATTGTTTATAACCCAGAATAACATATACCTAGGCTATAATTTATGACGATCTGTGACAAACGAAATTTCACGCGGGTGAAGCCGCGGGCAAAAGCTAGTGGTACATATTTTTCTGTTTGTTGTGGTGGTGACATACATTTTTCTTAACTATTTTCCCTAATTCACAGTATATCTATGCAAAACACATTGAAAACGAAAGCCACAGTAACCTTCCCACTTTATCTAAATATATAAAAGGAGAAACTGACTGACTGACTGACAGAAGACTGACTGACTGCACTTGAAATTTGGAAGGGACGTAGCTTAGGTACCGTAGAGGTGCACTAAGAAAGGAATTCCCGAAATTCCCACGGGAACGGGAATTAACGGGAAAAACGAGATTCACGCGTACGAAGTCGCGGGCGGCCGCTAGTTATAATAATCTCGCCATAAAAACCCATAACACACACTTCCAGCTTAATTTTAAAAATCAAATTATTTACGATCCAATATAAATTTTCCTTGGACCATACGGCAATACCTATGCTGCAGGATGCAAGCTGAATTGGACGTTGTGTGGTGGCAATAACGGCGGGAATCGCTTGGGTAGTGCGAAGAGTAATTTTGTTGAACGCTATGGGATTTTTGTAGCGCGCGCAAAAGATTTTGAGTATTTGTTGATTATTATTCTTTGTTTGAATTTTTGTGAATATTTGAATGTTTTTTTTAGGATTGTTAACAATTTTGTTTTAAATAATGTAATTTAACTTGTGAATGAAACATTGTAAGGTTATTGCAGTACAATTCAATAGTATCTTATCACTGTAGAATAAAGGTATGATTTGCAAATCACGAGTACCTACTGTTAGTCGAGTATAATTTAGAATAATAAATTGTTAAGTATATCAACGCTATTTATTTATTCGTGAGAATTTATGTAAACAGGAAACAGTTAACAAATGGGTACAAATAGTTTGATGTTATTATCTTTAAAAATAACGGTAATAATTGATACTTAATTTATTAAGATAACCTATCACCCGACCTCTATCTAACATAAGCATTTAGCTTAGCTATAAAATTATAGTAATTATTACTAAAAGATACTATGTTCACTACAAAATTAAATTACTCACTCTCTTAAAAACTCCACTCTTTAAAAATATTTATAATTTATTTTTTTAAAACTGAAGTAATTTAAAAGTAATAATAATAGCAAGTACCAAGACCGTTAACTCCGGTACACAATACATTCGCTCTGCGACGCGCCATGTGACGACTTCAGAATAGAGGTGCAGTTGAGTCGCCGTGGAATACATTTTTTTATTACAATTAAATTTAAAATGCATTTTAATTTGAATAAAGGCAGCATAGATAAGAGGGTTTTAGTGAAAAATGGATAGTTTTTATGGGAAAACACACGAAACATATAATTTAACGACACAATTTTAGTAATTTATTTGATTTTACTTAAAATTTATCTAGAATTTGGAATATCAATTTTATAATATTTTGCGCACTATGCCTATTATTAAAAAGAATGCAATTAAATTTTTTAACGTGTAAATGAATTACATTGTACGAAATGTTCAATATTTTTTATTTGTTTTTGCATCTAATTGAAATAATGTTAAAATATCAACTCAAAGTAAGGTTCCTTAATCATTGGGGTATTTTCTTAATTTTATCAAAATGATAAATTAAATAATACTCCATGATGATTAAGACTAAATAACATAACCATGTCAATGAATCGATAGCAACTTCCTATTAATTATTATGATAAGAAACATAGATAATGATGTAATTAGTTCTAATCATCTCTTATCGGTTATTAGAACATTATTTATCGATTGAAAAAATAAACTGCCTCAGGCTTACGCACGACCTTTCGTTTATTTCTTTTCTAAGAAAATGGGGTTATCGTTTTGTAAGTTCTTTGTTTAATTAAAATAGTAAGACACGGGTCTTAACGCGACGTTTATTAATGAGTTACATTATGTACTCACGGCTTGACGTTTCTACTATTTTAATTGATGTGGAACGCGAAAGTTAAAATTCTTTGTTGAAGTTATTGTTTTGAATGTACGTTTTTCCATGTGCGTATGGCAGAATCATCCATTGTAGAATTGAATCTTCACGTGGATATCGTAAGAGTGGTTACATGTAAACATTTAGGCCTCCTTAACCCGTGTGGCCAGCATGGGGAGTGTAGGCCAAATCCTCCATTTGTATTTAGTAAATTATAGACGGTTATGTTCCTACAGTCGAGAATAAATGAAAAAATCCATAAACCAACTTTAAAGCAGGTTAGGTTCATGTTTTGTTGGTACTTTAGTTGTGTACCCATAAAATTTTGACTTCGCCTTTTAAAAAAACAAACTTTCTTTTTTTTACCATTTTGTTTATCACCAGCAAGTTTGAGAAACACTGCCAGCCTGCACGTAGGTATTTGAGCGCGTTATCGCGGGTTCATTCCCTGTGTAAATAACTGATAACGCACCGGACTGCTTTAGTACAGTCGAATGCAACAGTTTTGTGATCGCTGCGATAATTTCGCCGATGAACGAATTAACTAAGTTATATTTTGGTATATTTTTTTATATATTTTTATTAGAAGAGCTATTATATTTGTTAAGTATGTTTTCTCATTATACATGCTTTGCTTGAATGAAATAGAAAATAAATCATTTTTGAGGATTATCAAAGATGTTTAAAACAAGTAAAAATTAGTCTTTGTAGATTTTTTTTAATAGAAGCCCTTGGCTGCAGCCTGCATCTTACCTTCAAGTCTGATTGGTTAATTTCAATATTAA